AGACGATGGTGTGTATGTTTGTGGAGATAGTGATACCTAGTTATAGGTACTGCTTGATGCACGAAGTTTTTGGAGACAGTGTATGAGGGAGGATACTTGTTTTTCCATGTCCCTGTCCCGCCAATAGAGGCGAAGGGAGATTTTAAGGAGTTAATTCTAAACTACACTAATATTATAAAGAGGAAAACTTTGTTTGTTTGTTTGGTTGTAATGAATAGGCTCAAAGACTACTGGACCGTTTTTAAAAATTCTTTCACCATTCGAAAGCTACATTATCTACGAGTAACATAGGCTAAATTTCATTTTGGAAAAAAATAGGGTTCCGTAAAATATGTAGATAATGTAGTCAAAGCGCGCGAAGCCGCGGGCGGAAAGCTAGTTCAATATAAACTGCTGTAGTTTCCACTCTAGCAGAATTTCTGTAATCCTAGTATGCGCGAAGAAAATCGGCAAAACTTGGAGCGAGATCAAACGCGAAGGTCACGACCAAATACGATGGAGGACTGTTGTGGACGCCCTCTGCCCCATCTAGGAAACATAGAACCATAAGTAAGTAAGAATGTGCGCCGCGATTTATCTCGCCGTTTTTTTATCGACATTATGACATCTAAAATCATCGATAAGAATTTATCACGGGGTGAATCCTAGCCCGGATAGATGGCGTTATACTCGTATTTCCTAACGCAAACAACCTCGTCTAAAACTTTAGTTAAAGACTTAAACTAAGTGCGATATCAAAATTGCAATATCCTTGGAAACAGTATCTCCTACCCGCGTGTTCCTAATACCTCCTAAATATTTAGCACACTCTAGATAAGCTAAAGGCTCTGTAATTGAATATAACAGCGCCGGAGTTACAGCGTAATTATATGACGCAAAGGAAGCTAGGAAATCCGACGGCGTAATGAGGAGTACTATACTTAAGTACTAAGTCCAAGTACTGAGTCTGGAAACTATACTTAAGTAGGTACTAAGTCCAAGCACTGAGTCTAGAAATTAGGTTTTAATGGCTTCTTACATAATAATACTTAAATGCTATAATTGGGTTCATAGATAATAGTGAATAGGAATGAAGTGCCACTGAATTTGTATTTTGATTGTACAGAAGTACGTGGAAGAATTAGATTTTTTTTGGAAAAGCCAAAATCAGTGAATAAGTAATATTCTTAGAATTCAAGGCATATCGATTGGCATATGTTAACAGCATTGTTGTGTTCCGGCAGTTAGAGGTAAGATAACCAATTCCTCCGTGGTTGAGGATTCCGGGTGAAATCGGCCTGATCGTCACTTACCATCAGGTGAGATACAGGCCAAGATAGTTATGGATTAAAAAAAAGTAGACTTCGAATGCGGTACTTATACCTACTTCAAACATAATTTAAAAGAAAACGAGTTATTTTAACGAGGTAGCAGAGTTAGGGGCGCGATGACATGTCAACTGTAAAGTTCTGCGGTTGCCACTTGCGGTTCGCGGTCTACTCTAGCATAAACTTAAAAGTTCTGCCACTGCACACTGAATAGTGCACACTGCAACTGGTAGTCGAGAGAAGATTGAATTAATATGACAAATGTTATGTTGAACGCAGCGTATTTATAATAAATTGTGGAGTAATTGTGTGACTCAGAGAAATGTAATTGCAAGCGTTGCCAAGCTTGGGACACTAATGTGGAGTTAAAACATCACCCCCCTTAATAATAAAAGTAACACCATAGTTGAACCCTATTTTAAAGTGACGTTTAGTTAGGAAATATCACTTTAAAACTGTGTTCAACCAAAATAATATGGTTCAACTAGGGCAGGGTTGGCGAACCAATGGCACGCGTGCCAATGATGGCACGCGACATAATATTTTGGGCACGTCACCAATCACAAATTCAGTAATTCAATAGTAAATAATGTGTTTTGATTATAAGCTATCGTATTTGCCGTCTTCAGTTAGTGCCACTGTAGAGTAAGGTCGTGTAACTCACCAGCGGTGATACTTAATGGCATTAGGTGTTAATTTAATGGCACGTGTCTATGATTACTTCAAATTTTTTTTTAAATAGTGGCACGTTCAAACTTAAAGGTTCGCCATCCCTGAACTAGGGTGTAACTTTTTATTAATAAGGGGTTAAATGTCGTTGTGCTTGCACTTATAGGAGTTATAACTCCACAAAATTAACCTACTGCTCGCTAACGTAATTAAAATGGAAACTTTCGAAAAGGTTTTTGTAAAACTCATAAGTAAGTCATAAAACTCATTTTTGCAAATAGGCTTTTAAAAAGCACTTATACACGTCCCAGTATTAACCCTACCACTGCTTTGGGACAATAAATGGCCAGTGCTGAGAAGAAGCAGCGCAAGAAACTCAGTCGCTATTATGTGGTAGAATATAATATTTTAATTAATATTTCTTTGGAAGATTTCGGTATTTTTAATGAAAAGTGAATTATTTAACCGCGATACGTGGTCTCATATTTTATTATTAGCATATCAACGTAATTTTACTTGAAAATATAATACATTATGAAAATATTATATTTCAAAGGCTAGCTAGCAAAGTAATTTCAATTTTCACGGTTGATTTTCTAATAACGTGAACATTAGTTATTTTCAATATAGCAATAAATTAAGAAAATAATGAGCTCATAATGTTTTTTGAAAGCAAAAACTAATTAATCAAATTATTAATGCTCATACAAACGGACTGCGCTTTAGCAAACTTAACTCAATTTAATATGTTAAGTGGCACTTGTAAACAACTCGCTTAATGCAAACAAGCACAATTCGAATTCAAAGTGTACTTCGGAATATATTTCCGTACATCCGAACTTGGCGAAACATTCCAACTAAAAATAAGTTATGTGAGCGAAATACTGGAGTCGGATGAGCGAAGTGAGCGGAGCGCGGTGAGCGGAACGAGCGTTCCTTAATTTCGATGTTCGCTTATGCAGTTAAAATGTTCGTAAAGCTAACCGCAAATGTTTTCATTTTTGGTGAATAGATAAACTATACAGTGTGGAAATTGTAATGCCACCTGGAGGGAAAGTACTGTTAATATTGTAGATAGAAAATTTTACTCAACGAAAACATTCCTTTATTTTTGTAGAGAAATAGTAGCTAACAGAACTAACATTCAAAGATTTCCGAAATTTTTTCGTTAATTCACCACCATGAAGAATAAATTATACAGATGCTAGTTATGTATTTGAATCTATTCTCCATAATTTATTCTTCAGTATACGTTTCAGCCAAATGACGTCCACTGCTGGACAAAGGCCTCCCCCAAGGTTTTCCACAATGAACGGTACTGCGCTGCCCGCATCCAGGCTCTTCCCGCGACCTTTACCAAATCATCGGTCCACCTAGTAGGAGGCCTGCCCACGCTACGTCTTCCAGCCCGTGGTCGCCACTCGAGAACTTTTCTGCCCCAACGGCCATCGTCTCTACGAGCTATGTGCCCCGCCCACTGCCACTTGATTTTAGCAATTCTGCGAGCTATGTCGGTTACTTCAGTATACATAGATTCATATTTATGTATCGTTTTATATGCGGGCTTTAATCAACGGTACATGTGGATGCGGAGATTACCCACTTGTTGGCTGCGCGGTAAAAGTGCGAACTGTCTGGTTTTTCTTTCTAGACCAAGGATTCGAATTTGGTTTCGTTTTTCAGTCAGTTAACTTAATGAAGATTATTTTTTTTAGCACAGTGGAGTTCTATTACAGCTAAATGTAACATTATCTGAAAAACTATAAGTAGTAGTAAAACTAATGAGAAATATAACATCCATCTACATATACGATCGGTCAAGTTGATTAATAGTTATCGCAAGATGTTCATATTCATGAGTACCTACGTATGTCTGTCGATCAATCAGTCACCTTACCTCGTAGTGTGTGTTCCAAATGGATAAATAGGCATTTTTGCATAACAATTTAGCGGTAAAACTATATTATCTTGAAAAACAAAAGAGAAAAAAGTAAAATGCAAAACTTTTTTTGAAAGCAAGTCCCGTTTCATTAAAATTTGTAAGCGAAAGTAAAAACACATTCATTCACGGAGGAAATTAACTAAAATCTTAAATAGACAATAATATTATTATATCTAAAAGAGCACAGAATGTGTAAAGAGCAATTTGTAGAGTCACGAAATGTTGGGTAATGCTGTAAAAAAAAATACTTAAGTAAACAAAAATCCACTCAGTAAATCTCGAGTTCATTAGTTAGCATAACTTAAGGTATCTTTATTTCTTAAAAATAAGTAATCACAGAATCACACTTAGTAGGTCTTTATGTTTGTATTGATAACGAATGTATCACTTTGTAACGTGATACACGCCAGTGTAGATACCTACGCTTCAAAAGAAAAACGCAATTACTTTATTACATGTAGGCCATTGGATAAAAGGTTTTACGATAGCCAAATAGGCCTAATAAAAAGTAATGAAAACGTTTTTCGTACCTACCGAGGATTTCGGGTTTAAATTAAATATCCGTTAAAATCTTAAAATATTCTATTTATTTGAGTAAAAAAGCCTTCTTTGCATTCACACTTTTTCCTAATCCATTAAGATGGGATCCTTTTGATGGGATTCATTCAGAACTTCTAACGATCGAAATCTCAAAGGAAACTGAACTTATTTCTGTTATTGAGCTCAAAGTTACAACATAAACGTGCCAAAAACATCTTGTGTATTTTCCTTTTTTAATTATTTCAAGCACTATTCATATGCAAATAAACCCATTTCGCGCGGAGAAATTTTAGGCCGTTAAAATTTTGAACAGAAAAACGTAAACAGACGGAACGGAACGCATCGAGAACACAAAGGTCGCATAATCGTTTCCTAACACATGCATTAGTCACAGAAATGGAAAAAGCGGCACCAATTTGCTTAACTCCTGAAACAAAGCACAACTTTCTTCTTAAAAACGAATTTACATGAGCTACGTACAAATAAGGAGTTATTTATCGAGGGCTGGCTGAACGGTTCGGCAGCGCGCGAAAAAGAAAACTAAAAATAAAAAAGAAAATTAATTTGACACCTGTCAAAACTTCAAAAGGCGCGGGAAATTATTCGGGAGTTATTTTAACGTTCCTGTGATCATGTTGAGGACCGTAGTTGTTATTTCAATGTTCATTGTGTGTTGTTACTGCTCGGATAATAACGAGCTTCTTGAGGACGCTCGTGCAAAGAAGAAGAAAAACCCAGCGAGACTTTGGGGTAAGTTAGATTAATTTAATTCAATTCGCTGCAAGGTCTGGGCAAAACAATCATCGTAATCTTACGGGATGCCAGCCACTTTTAATGTCGCGAAAGGTATAAAATGTTTTATGAGGCGTTTTTCTTTGTTTATGAAGAAAGTAAATAACGTTGGCCAGATTATGTTTGTCGCGTCCTTACCTATAATAAACCTTATAATATTCCGGGTCTTTATTTGCAGGAGAGGAGTAAACAGGCCTTATGGCATAACTTTTGTTTTAGTACGCCAACTTGATAAGGGAGAGTCCGCTAATTTGGACCAGTTTTTTTCAATCCCATTTTACACCTAGTTTTTTTTTGTTTTTGCTAATGTCCATGGTATATAGGGATGTTCCGATACCACCTAAGTATCGATACCTACTCATTTCGATAATACTCAAATCTTTTTTCGATACTACTTAAATAAGTACTCCTAAAGTATCGATAGTTACTGATATCGATACTTTTTGGAACTTTTATTTTGTTTTGTTACTTGTAAACAATCACTTAACACTTTCACAATGGCGGAATGGCGAGATGATTTGCGGGCGGGTGCGGGTGTCTCCTTCTCTCGCTTTCGGCTCGGGCTTGGCTGAAGTCGGACGAATTCGGCTGGCCCAGCGCGAGACAACGCGTCACTCACGCCGCCACGCGACGAATACCGGTAACTCGGTAACCGATTAAAGCTGATTAGCTGACTGTTTTTGCTCTGTCAGTTCTGTATGATGCGTTCTCGGTTTTTTTATTGTTTTCGGTTGTTTTGCTGACTCGATTCGATACCAAGTATTTTTGTTTCGATACCGATTATGTATCGCAAAATTGATTCGATACAATAAATACTTGGTATCGAATCAAAAGTATCGAGTACCTACTCGTATTTATTAGTATCGGAATATCCCTAATGGTATACAGGGTGGAAACGATAAGTGATCTCATTCGATTATTTCTAAACTATACAAGATATCGAAAAACTGGTTACTGATTTTGAAAGTGCTTTACGAGCTCTATCCAACGGTACCAATAATAGGTCACAGAATTAACTGGATCTATCCGAAAATTCAATGTTTCCAGCTTCCATACATTTAGTAAAACCACATAATATTAAAAACTATACAAGATATCAAAAAATTGGTTACTGATCCTGAAAGTGCTTCACGAGCTCTATCCAACGGTACCAATAATAAGTTACAAAAGAAACTGGATCTATCCGAAAATTCAATGTTTCCAGCTTTCATACATTTAGTACTGCCACAGTCATGGCACTCATGTCTTGATAATATTAGAGCACATAAAGCCTAAAACCAATGTTTTCCATGAATAATTTTAAATGAGAATGCAATTTACGAGTTCAATTTAAGTTTTTATTATTTAATAAAAAAAATAACACTTCTAATATTGTGTGGCTGGCATACATTTAGTATGGATGCTGAAAACATTGAATTTTCGGATAGATCCAGTTAATTCTGTAACCTATTACTTATACCGTTGGAAAGAGCTCGTAAAGCACTTTCAGGATCAGTAACCAGTTTTTCGATATCTTGTATAGTTTAGAAATAATCGCGTGCGATCACTTATCGTTTCCACCCTGTATAATAAAATATACATTATTCAACTTACTATTTCATAAGTATTAATTAACATGATTGTTGTATATTTAGTACAAATCAACAAAGTACGAGTTCAGAGCTTCGGTCCAATTTAGCCAACCGGTTCGATAATTTGTACCACAGGGTTACTAAATTGCATTTCAATAAATTTCAAGCCTATAAAAAACTATGGCAAAATATTATACGATACATTCTTAACAAATTAGGAAACGAAAAGGAACATTAGTTAATAACATAGAAAATCGATATTGTTTTACACGTTATTACGATTTTGAGTACAAGTTTTGTAATTCCAATTATCGTAACGCACACTTGTACCTAATCTACTTTGCCAGTCTGTTGCTTTCATTTATTGTTAGTCAAACATAACTATGCAGTTATAACTTCAAAATATGTTTACAAAAAAAAAATTCAAAATTCTTTGGTAAAGTTCCATACAACTTGATGTGGTAGGTACAATTTAGCCGACTAGGTGACAGTGCTTTAAAAAAATCGGTATAAAATATAGCTTATAAATGCCGAAAAATGTTTCAAATAATTGTAATCCACACTAATTTACGCTTGTAAATAATATTTAGAAACAGCCTGTGATTAAATTTAACAAAATTACAAACTAAACATGTATTGTCAAAAGTTACTTGAAAACAATGAAAAAATACTTTTCAAAATAAAACACACGTGTCTGTTGTCACGGCAAAAACCACATGGCCGATTTTAATTGATTTTAGTTGTGTATCGCTGAGTGTTGCAATTACAGACATTCAATAAATACTTTACGAAATATGAGGGTGGTACAATTTACCCGGCGGTACAATATACCGAACTCTCCCCTATAGGTATTTGTAATCTTTGTAACTGTTATTTGCATTTCTGGACATAAAATATTTTCTTACTTGTATCAATATTGGGCTCTTAAGTAATGGGCGGGCCGGATTATGTACTTGGTAGGTGCAGTTGATTTAAGATAGGTGGTTGATAAGATAAAGTAACGAATTTTCACAGTTTTTTTTTGCCATTTTGTTATCATTACTGTGCTTTATTTGAGTGGAAAAAAGTAGGTAATCTAAAGTTAAACGGGATCGGTCGTTATGGAAATCTTTGGGGGAAGGCTTTGTCCAGCAGTGGACGTCATGGCTGAAACGAACCAAAGTTATTTAGTGTGTATCCTTCAAGATAAACCTGAAATTCACTCTCTTTCCTGTTTATGTAGTTTCGTGAGTCCCAAAATGAGGCATATAAAGGAGGTGGCAAAGAAATCACTTTTATTGGTAGTTTGGTTAGATATTGCACACATGAATCAACCTGATTGCCTGATAAGACAAAGGTTTCCTCAAGACACGCTGAGAGCAAATATTGATGTAAGGTAATGTTGCACGCACGCTGTCACCTGTCATCCGCTTTGCAATGGAGGGAAGTCGAATCTTAATTTCGAACTCCTCCTATGTTCTTCTGATTAATTTCGTTGCGGGTCCAATGACAGTTTAACTTTCCCCTGGGACAAACTTGACCTTCATTGGTTAGGTTTTTGTGGCGGTCAAGCTGTAGATCCTGGCTACACAGGAGTTGCAGTGGTGGGAACGAGAGGTGGGAATAGTCCCGTAATGGTGCACGCACACCAAAGTTATTATTAACTTAGTCATGAACCTTTTCGTAGGTTTTACTGTACAGATCTAGCTCTTAACAGAGTAACTTAGATAACAGCACCTTAGATATCGAAGCATGTTTTTGGGACGTCAAACGTCAGCGAAACTTCAAATATGCTTCAGGTTTGTGCTACAGAGAATACAAATCGGTCACGTCATAATATTATGTTAATGTCATGCCGCTCCTATGGCACTAAACTCAGTTAAGCTTGACCAATAACTTTCTCACATGAAAGATCAATAAATTGATATTGAGTGTCTAAAATGCAGTAGGTACAATTTATTTCATTTTCACCAGCCATCTGATTAATTTCATTTTGTTACAGCTATGATCCTACTTCTGGTCGTGGCAAAGGTGGCGGTCGTCAAGGTGGTCTCCTTCTTCCTCTTCTACGGGCTGTTCCAAAAACTCTTCTACGTCATGGGCCTGGTCCTCAAGTACTTCCTGAACCGGGCGAAGACCCCCAACCCGGTCTACGGAGCCCCCCAGGAGTACAACACTGTGGGGTACAGCTACGGACCTCCTGAACAAGAAACCTTTAACGATCATGAGAATCTGCCCAGCATAACTGAGCTGGGAGGATCTCTCAAGTGGCTGTTTGATAAGAATTAGTTAGGTTAAGTTATTTATTTATTAAATTATTTATTTATTTATATTCGTCAACTCTTTTTAACTTTTTCACCCTGGTGTTCTATGATTAAGTTGAGACATGCTTAGTTTTATAATAATGATCAAAGTGTAGTATTAAGTGATAGAAGAAAAACATATTTTCCATAATGCATTCCTGAGAAAAAAGGGTGTTACATAATATTTTCACGCACTTTTTTAATTGGCAATAGTCTGGTTTGCATTCAAGAGATATCGATTCCAAAGTCAAGGTCCTAGGGGAATGCCACAGGGAGTTTCGCTTTTTCATTGGATCAGAGACTCAATCTTTCCTGGATTACTCTCCTGGCCATTAAGGAGTAGCAATGCAAGAAAATTTTAGGATAACTGTGATAAATCACATTCTTACCAAGTATTTAAAATGTTCTACGGTCCTTGCTATAGTAAATAGAGCAATACTACACTCTCTACGAGCGTGTATGTCATTTGAATGTAATCCGCGTTCAGCGAACGGCTCGATTAGCCGCAACAATGCCGGCTAAAAGCTTGCTCGCGGCTAACGAGTGCTGCTGCCAGCTCTGTTGGAAAGGGCGGGACATTTTGTCAATTTGCTATCATCATCATCATCATCATTTCAGCCACAGGACGTCCACTGCTGAACATATGCCTCCCCCAATGACTTCCACATCGCACGGTCGGCCTGTGAGGCAAGTTTGCTATGGAAAACATTAACTTCGAACTTCTCATAATGTTCTTCTGATTAATTTCGTTGCGGGTCCGATGACAGCTTAACTTTCCTCCTCAAAGACCTTAACTGGTTGGGTTTTTATTGGCGGTCAAGCTGTAGATCCTGGCTACACTGGAGTTTCAGCGGTGGGAACGAGAGGTGGGAATAGTCCCGTATAGAAAATATACTGACAGCAGGATAATTCGAAGTGAAAATGATGCTGTAGGTAGTTAGTAATTTATTTTCTGCAACTAAGCTTCTATTAAATGTTTTGAAGCGCGTCCCAGTGTTTCTTTATCTCTACCACTGCTTCGAGACAACAGTTAGAGTAGTGCTGAGAAGAAGAAGCGCAAGAAACTTCGTCATATTTTCAACCGACTTCAAAAAAGGAGGAGGTTCTCAATTCGACCCGTATGTTTTTTTTTTTTTTTTTTTCTATGTTTGTTACGCGATAACTCCGCCAATTATGAACCGATTTGAACAAATCTTTTTTCGGCGTATAGGTAATACCTCAAGGGTGGTCCCATTTAAATTTAATAATAGAAAAAACAACCCCCAAGGGTGGAAAATTGGGGATGAACTTTTTTATACGCAATATCTCCGCCGATTATAAATCAATTTGAACGATTATTTTTTTGTTGAATAGGTATTATCAAAAGGGTGGTTTCATGCGAATTTGAAGAAAATATTTCACCCCCAAGGGTGGAAAATTAAGGATGAACTTTTTTATACGCAATACTTTTAATTTTTAGTTTTTTTGTGTTCACGCATTTGAAGTCGGTTTTATTTTTTTAAAAAGTTAATTATCATTACTGACTGATAATTCCAAAATTAAAAACGGCATCTGATTTTAATTTCAACTTCTCACACACGCTGCACTTATATTATTAGTTAATGAGAACCAAAATTGTGCATTGTGGAAAACCTTGGAGGAGGCCTTTGTCCAGCAGTGGACGTCATTTGGCTGAAACGAACGAACGAACGAACGAGAACCAAAATGCTACCAGGCGCTGTGACAAAATCGGATAATATGACCGCAAGCGCTGCACAGCGACCGACGAACCGTGCTGTCACTTTGTGGAAAACGCAGTTGGCTGGGCACTGCCCAGTGGGCAGCAAGCCGGCGAATTTTCATGCAATTTTATTGGATGACGACGCGACGACCCCTTTAACTGTGGTATTTTTTTCTTTATGGTTTTCTTTTGAACTTGAATATTTAGATGCTAAGTAAGGGCTTGTTCCCACGGAGACACGTTTTTTGCGGGAACTGTTTTTGCAAGATCCCGTGAACATCCCGTTTGAAGTGTCCTTTTTTGTAATTCAAATTTCAAACTGTGTACTTACTACGTGTGTTTATACGACAGTCTAGTTTTGCTGGATTCGGCATGACTGGAACCCACAAAACTGTATTGCCGTGGGAACGAGCCCTAAAAGGAGTTGGTCCATAATGTATGTTCCCAAAACTACCAAATATCAAATCAGAAATGGTCACTGCTAGATATTTGGTCACCCTACAACCCATCGGAAGCGGTGACAGCCGTCAGATTAGACCCAAATTGCCCGGGTCATAGTCACTCGTTTGTTGTCCGTCCCATTGACGCGGCGTTCCGGGCCATTCTGTAACGCTAAAGGACGCTGGCCTGTAATAACAAAGTGCAATATGGTTATTGTTGATGAAGGGAGCTGTCTGATCCGGAATCCGGTCGAAGGGACGGTTTAGGGAGCGCTTTGAAGATCAAAACAATAGTCCTGTACTGACTGACCTGTGTCATACTTAAATATTTGATGGCTGACGTCATTATAAGGGCATTTCTACGGGGACGACCGATCGACCTACTGGGGCGAAAAAAGTACCTTTAAAATTTAAGTACGGACTTGAAAAAAATCACACGTATTTATAGGACTCTTGACTTGATGGAGAGCATATTTAGAAGACCGCCAGGTTTTACATCCCGCCTTGAAAAAATCAGAAAGTTCAAAAACGGGCGAAATTTGGCCTAAAATGGAATGTCCGGTTTCCAGAATTTACTCGTTTTTGCTTCATAACTTTTGAAATAATAACTTCCCCATTATGAAACCCACATTNTCTGTTTTACGAAAATACACGCCTGCTTTATGTATAAGCATGGAACAGGTAATATTGAAAGCTTTTCGAATAAAGGTTTACATGATTCAAGAAAATGCGCTTTGCAAATAGCCCTTATACACTTTTTTTGTGCAATGAATACCCTAATAATAACAGCGTGCCGTAGCTAAGCAGCGACGATACACAGGGCCGGATCGTGAATTTGTGGGGCCCTGGGCTGAAACTTCTTATGACGTTGTCACGTAAAAATATCGTCCGTAAACCGACTTTACAGACAACTATTTTTTTTTTTTTTTCAAATTATGGCCTACTTTTTGCGGGATCTGGGGGCCCCTTGTAACCCCGGGGCCCTGGGCTGCAGCCCAATCAGCCCATAGGTAGATCCGGCCCTGACGATACATAGCCATGATACGCGGCTAAAGCGGTTTCAATGGATGAAATGTTACTAAGGCGTCTTAAAGCATATACAAATCTATCAATGTTCATACACATCGCCTATATGTGTGTTTTCCAATTACAATGATTGTCCAAAGTGAAGCCTAAGAATTTTACAGTATCTACTATCTCGACAGTACTACCATTATATGTGACTACCACATCCACTGGTTTGGCCTTGTGAGTAGAAAATTGCACAGCCTTAGTCTTCTGTACATTAACTTTAAGGTTATTTCTATCTAGCCACTTTATAACATTTTCTAGCGTTTTGTTGATTTCGTCGTTAAATCCGTTTCGGTCATAACATTTAATCACTACTGTGGTATCGTCGGCAAACATAAAACACCTGTGTTGCGTTACACATGGAAGGTCGTTAATGAACAATAAAAATAGAAGTGGGCCTAGAATGCTGCCTTGTGGTACTCCACAAGAATTAACACGATATTTCGACCAAAAGATACATCTTTTGGCTTCAATGACTTTGGCTATTTCAGTACATTGTTGTCTATTTGACAAATAGCTTTTTAGCCAAGTATATGCATTTCCTCTTATTCCGTATCTTTCTAATTTGTCTAGTAGTCTTTTATGCGGTACACAATCAAAGGCTTTACTCATATCAAGAAATAGTGTAACGAGTGGTATTTTATCATTAATACTTGACGATATTAATCGTATCAAATTATAACAAGCCATTGTAATAATAATAATAATAAATAATAATAAATAAATTTATTCAGTTAAACATTTGGATCTAACAAGGGGTGAACCCTGACACCGAAACTAGTAAAAAATACTGTATTTTCAGTGTCAGTNATATTAACAGAAAAATACGTATGAAATTAATAACGTTCATAATGCCTTACTGTTAAAAACCCCAAGGCTAAGAATTTCATAGGGGAAGTTAAACGCATTGGGCCCGCAATTTAATAAATGAGACGAAAATAGATACACTCAAGGTTCAGTCAGACAGTTGAAGTCTAGCAATGAGGGTTTTCGCGAATGAAAGATCCGCTAGATGGCGGGACGTGGATGTGGGGTCTGACTGGTGAATTTTGACATATCTGTAATGTCAAAAAATAATCATGCAGCATTTGGACCTCGCGTCTCCGTATTGCCATCTGGCGGATTTTTCATTCGCGAAAACCCTCATTAAGTATAATAAACGTTGTCCCGAAGTTATGGCAAGCTAAATTGAAACGTGTTGAAGTTCAAAGCTGCTAAATTAATGTAATCCCAAAGTAATGGCAGGCTATTTCGGATCTTGTAAATGAGCTTTGTAAAGGAAATAGCACATAGCTCGTAGAGACGATGGCCGTACGGGCAGAAAAGTTCTCGAGTGGCGACCACGGGCTGGAAGACGTAGCGTGGGCAGGCCTCCTACTAGGTGGACCGACGATCTGGTAAAGGTCGCGGGAAGAGCCTGGATGCGGGCAGCGCAGGACCGTGCATTGTGGAAAACCTTGGAGGAGGCCTTTGTCCAGCAGTGGACGTCATTTGGCTGAAACGAACGAACGAACGAAAGGAAAGGGCATACTAATGAAGAATTTGAACTTACGTTTCCTGTTGGGGCGCAGGAGCGGGCTCGGGCGCGGGCGCAGCGGGCGCAAGCGGCAGCGACTGCGGTCGTTTCAGGAATGACACGCGTTCCTCCTGTCGAGAAACACCTCGTTAGCGTCTTTTTTGAGTCATTTGGGGTGCTATTTTGAGCCTTATTACCTCGTCTTACGGACAAAAGAGTGATTGTCAATGCGCATCCTTTCTGTGTCATTTTCTCACATATATTTTCTATGGTTTACTTTATAGCTCAATTTGTAGTTGGTCTGTTTCAACCAAAACACGTCATTTGCTGGACGAAGAACTTTCACAAGGATTTGCGTTTCACTAGTGAACGATCCTAGTGGGAAGCCTGCTTACACCAAAACTTCTGGTTAGTGATCGCTATTCGTGTACCTAAACGTGAACGAACTAAAGTCGCTGACATAGCCCGACGGATTAGCAAGATTAAAGTGGCAATGGGCAGGGCACATAGTACGCAGAACTGACGGCCGATGGGGCAGCAAGGTTCTGGAGTGGAGGCCGCGTACCGGAAAACGCAGCGTGGGACGTCCACTCATAAGGTGGACCGACGACATCATAAAGGTAGCAGGAAGGCGCTGGACGCAGGCCGCTACCAACCGGGCAGCATGGAAAGCATTGGGGGAGGCCTATGTTCAGCAAAAGACTATTCCCACCTCTCGTTCCCACCACTGCAACTCCTGTGTAGCCAGGATCTACAGCTTGACCGCCACAAAAACCCAACCAATGAAGGTCAAGTTTGTCCCGGGGGAAAGTTAAACTGTCATTGGACCCGCAACGAAATTAATCAGAAGAACATAGGAGGAGTTCGAAATTAAGGTTCGACTTCCCTCCATTGCAAAGCGGATGACAGGTGACAAACAAAGGTTTAAAACCTTTAAGAAAAAGATTATGCACCACGGACAATAAATTAAATTAAGGGGGCCTATNGGCCTATCTTATGAGCAATGGACAATTTGACAACATTCTCCAATAATTCGAAATCACAACTTTTCTAAAAAGACACTTCATTCTGGTCTTAAAAACTTAATTAATTTTAAATTACCTGTTATTTACGATTATTGGTCGCATTGTAATTGAAAAAAGTAGTATAATTGAGTTGACAAAATAGTGACGTCACTTGCTTGTAGTGCCATAATTATAAAATCTATGGGAGAGTTTCGTTTTGACAGTTTTAAAAAGTACGTCAATTGATTGGTGGTGTCAACATGTCTATTAGCAACTAGGCCAATGTTCAGCAGTGGACGTCCTATGGCCTCGATGATGATGAGGCGTGTACCTGCGGCGTGCACACGCACGTGACGTCGGTCTGCGTGGCAGCGGGCGCGCGCGCGCAGGCCACGCAGCGCAGGATGTCCTGCATGCACGTCTGCAGCGACGCCACCTGCGACTGCAGCCGGCTGCACGTCTCCGTCAACTGCCGCACCGCTTCGGTGCTGTCGTCTGAGTCGCACGACCGGACTTTTTGGGTGTCTGCAGTCAATTAAAGTGAGCAATTGGACTTTATCTACTATATAAAAATAAGTCGGGTTTTCCTCCCTGACGCTATAACTTCAGTACGCACGAACCGATTTCCACGGTTTTGCATTCGTTGGAAAGGTCTCGGGCTCCGTGAGGTTTATAGCAAAGAAAATTCGGAAAAAGGGGGTAAAACGGGATCCACGCGTACGAAGTCGCGGGCGGCCGCTAGTTCATTTATAAAAACAAGTGACTTCACTTTTCACTAAAACATAATATAAGCGCCTCTTTTTTCCGTCCTCTATTTTATCCCCTTTGATATTAATTTTACCACAAAAGATAGACTGTATCCTTCTCCTATCCCTATACCAAACTGTATCAAAATCAGGCCCCTCTTTCCCACTGGGCACTTTGGTCACGTGCACAGGGCCCCGCGATCGAGAGGGCCCCCGCCTACTCAAAAGATTTTTTTCCAGATAATAAGGGCCCCCCTTGATCCTTAAGTGCCCAGGGCCCCTAGTAGGTTAAAGACGGCCCTGATCAAAATTAGTTCGGTAGTTAAAGCTATTACGAAACAAGAGGATACGTGTAATTATTAACAAGTTATAGACTAAAGCCTGGTCCGTGAGCACGTAGAATCCCGTCCAATGACCCCAAGCTACCCATCCTTATCGCTCGCGCGTAATTATATTGCTGTCGCGTCGCGTAAATATAGTGAGTGTGCGAGCGCGACAGCAACATAATTACGTGCGAGCGACAAGGATGGGCAGCTTGGAGTCATTGGACGGGATTCTACGTGCTCACGGACCAGGCTTTATATAACTTTCAAATTTCTATATTTGTTTGGGTCACATCTAACCTATCAATATGCGGTAACAGCTCTATGTGGTATGATATCATCGTACGATTACTACGACGAATTAGTCGCAGACTTGAGGGCAAAAATGAATCGAACGATTAAAACACGCACGTATGTGATACATACATACAAATAGAATGGCATGGTTAAAACAAAACGTACCTGCCGCTTGCAACGTTGAAACTTTCTTCCACAGCGCGTTGATGGCTTGCATCTGTAGCTGCTGAATCTTGCGCTCGCTTTCGAGGGCTGCCTTAGTTGCCTCCATGTCGCACGTTAACCTTCTACAGGAGAAAATAATGCATATTATTAACTCAAGTTAAACTCGCTAAAAAAATTGATAATAGATCTAGAAGTATGGTATATCCTCGTATACCTATAAACCCCCCTACTAATAGCGTGTCTGTATTGAGAATCCTGCTGCGGTATCTTCTAGAATTCTAGATGATGACGGCAGCTATTCACTCTGCGCTCATCTTCATTTTAAATCTTATGCTAAAGGAAATAAGTGTCTATATCTCTAATGACGTGTACTCACTGTATATGCTGCCTCGCTCTCGCAGCCTCGATAGCATGCAGGATCCTCAGCGTATCCTTATTAAGGTTCTTGCTGCGGTATCCGCGCCACATCTTCTGAATGGTGACAGCGGCCATGCATTCCGGGCTCATGTTCATTTTTAACCTTATGCTGAAGGGAACAAGTGTCTTTGTACTCACTGTATATGCTGTCTCGCTCTAGCAGCCTGGATGGCATGCAGGATCCTCAGCGTATCCTTGTTAAGGTTCCCGCTGCGGTATCCGCGCCACATCTTCTAGATGGTAACGGCGGCCATGCATTTTGCACTCATCTTCATTTTAAACCTTATGCTAAAGGGAACAAGTCTCTGTCTCCAATGATGTGTACTCACTGTATATGCTGTCTCGCTCTAGCAGCCTGGATGGCATGCAGGATCCTCAGTGTATCCTTGTTAAGGTTCCTGCTGCGGTATCCACGCCACATCTTCTGGATGGTGACAGCGGCCATGCATTCTGCGCTCATCTTCTTCTGTCGTCTCTGGTTGGACGCTAGTTTGATGATTTCCAACTTGTCTGGGTCTATCTGGTCCCCGCTCTCTTGTTTCGTCATGCCGTTCAGCTTTTTCTCTTCGGTTTTTATGTCACCTACAAACAAATGAGAACATTAAAAATAATGTTAGATGCTCGAATAATATTCTTTTCTGTTTAAATTAGTACTACTAGACATACGAGGTGCATCATGTCAGCTAGTAATATTGACATGTCACACGCACGTCAATCTTTTGACGGTTTGATATTTTCTACGATTTTGTTGTAGAAATGACGTCAACATTTTCCGTAATAATGATTGTGATAAGTATTATTATCATCATTCTATGTGCAAATCAAGTCAAGATCAGAATCTTACCTTTAGACAAACTCCCCTTCCGCTCGATTTTGGACTTTAACTTCGGGCTGGAAGTCGCACTTTTGGGCAGCTTCGGGGATCCTTTTATGTTCTTATTCGGCTGAACAATCTGTCTGTGCGGTTTCTCTTCTTGAATACTACTGTTGCTGGATTGAGACGATGTGTTAGAGATGCTATTGACTGAGTGGTTGGTCGGCTTTGGTATGGATCTTTGGATGTCGTAGATTGGGTCCTGATAGTCCGGACTCATGAGCGATTCCGGAACGGGAACCATCTTGGATGCTGCTTCTAGGGAATGATTCACTGGTTTTGCTGGCTGTAGTTCTGTAGTGAGAGAAATAACATATAATAATATAATTGTTACTAATTTTAGTCATCAGTAAAGAAATAGCGTATTTTTTTATTATGGTAAGGCAGCATCGCTAAGGTTTTTGTATCCGATTTTCGTCTGTATTTATTACTCACTGTAGTGACAAATACTTTACATGCTACTGCAAAGCCTACCATGGTAGGGCAAGCAATATTTGGGACTTGTATAAGTGTCCTGGAAAGGGCCTATGTACTGAATAAACTATTTGAATTTGAACTACATATTATTGCTGCTAGTGGGCGGGGCACATAGCTCGTAGAACTGATGACCTTAGGGGCAGAAAGCCTCGGGCTTAGGCTTTAATTTAGTAGTGGAAGTGTTTTGCTTTAAACCAACGACTTTGACTTACCTGGTGCCTTCTCCTTCTCTTTGCCATTGTCCCTCTTCTCTCCCCCATACATCAAGCCAGGCGAGTCGAAGCTCTGGCTCATAGCTGATGGTATAGGGATGTCTCCGGAGTATGAAGCTGACATCAGCTGCGGCGAAGCTGACTTGGGCAACGCGGCGTGGAAACTCGACGTCAGCCGATCCGGTGAACGGCCCATGTGCCGGGAGGATATACGGGCTGCAAAAAGGGTCCACTCTTCAGTTTAGGTACAGGTACAGATGATGGCACTTCAAGCTAACACTGGAATCTTATATCTAATGGATATAGGGGCGATTTTGCAATAAAATGTATATTTTGAGGTGCTGTCAGTCGAATGAATTGTCACGTTGTAAAAAATTACCACCCTGCCACTAAAAAAGAAGTTTTTTTTCGACTATAGAAAAAGTCGGCATTTAATATTAGAGCTGTAGGTTCTTGGCACTGAGCTAACTGAATGAGGGCTATCGTTTTAGCGCTCACCAGTTAGCGCCACTGTAGAGTAAGGTCCTGTCACTTGCTAGTAGCGAAGACAGTGGCACCAACTGGTGAGCGCTAAAGTGGTAGGAGGACTATCGCATTTGCACTCATCAAGATGGCGCCACTGTAGAGTAAGGTCCTGTCAATCGCCAGGGGTGCCAACTGTTAAGTATAAAAACGATAGCCCTCATTCCGCTTAATGGCGTGAGAATCACTATAATGTCTAGTGTCCGACCGAAACTAGTTTTACGACCGAAACCGAAACCGAAAACGAATTTCGGCAACGGTGTCTATTTCGGCCGAAACCGAAACCGAAACCGTCAATTCTAAGTTTGGGGAGCGATTTTTATATTTGGAGATTCATTTCTCAATTCCGTGATTCATTTTCTCAATTCGGTGCTCTCTCAATTCGATGCTTAACATTTCTCATAAACCACTTAACAATATTTAGTGACAATGCTATTTTTACATTCAGAATGGAGTAATATTTATTTTTTTGTATTGAAACTACTTAAAAAACTAAATATAAATTTTAGCACCGAATTGAGAAAAAATACACCGTACCACCGTAGAAATGCCCATAAGTTGCAGATTTTTTTAAATAATACAAAATCTTGTAAATTTTTGACATAAGGTGACGAAAAAGATTAGAAAAAGAGATGAGTAAATTTTCTTCCCTTGACAAAAGGTGATTTTTAGTTTCTACTTTTGAATGTTTTTAGCCACAAGGGATTAAGCTCTTGGCCTGCATCTCACTTGATGGAAAGTGATGATCAGGCCGAAGTTGGAAGCGAATTCACCCGGAATCCCCAACAACAACCTGGTTATCTTATTCATATCCATTTCAAGTGTAGGTAACTACGCCAAAAACGTATATTACCCAGTATTTCGTTTTTCAAAAAGCTGCATACAAAAGCGCGAGGCCTGATTGTCCGTAGGCTTCTAGTTTTCTCATTTCCTCAAAACCTCGTAACGTTGAGCTCAAAGATGCGATGTTGCTCAACTAACCGCGCTGATATTACCATTTGTAAACCACAGATGTTGCAATGCAAGAAAGATGCAGTAAGTCAAGTATATTTTTTTTTATAAAGCCTGAGTGAATTGAAATCACAGTGTAAGCCTAACTCGGTGGACCTATCCTGGTAAAGATCGCAGGAAGCACCTATATACGGGGAGTGGAGCAGGACCGATTTTCGTGTAAATCCTTGGGTGTTGCCTTGGTCCAGCAGTATCCAACATTAAGTTGAATCAAGAGAATTGGTGTGTGTTCCCGTGTTTATGGATCGGAAAAGTCAAAACGGTTATGCCTGCTGCCTTGATTACACAACTTGCTCATAATCTTGTAACGTTTTTGAAAAAGAGATTGAATGAGTTTATTGCGCTGTTTCTTTTTAGCACTGGCCTACTGCATTGTTATTCTGAAATAGTAATAGGCCGTAGAGTCGATGCAAAAATTTAATACGGTGCTGAGCTGATAAGAGTAATTTCAAGTAAGAATCTTATGCTTTTGTTGAGATGTCGGCCGTTTGGTGTAGTGGTTAAGAACGGACTACTATGCCGAGAGGTCCCGGGTTCGATTCCCGGTCGGGCAAAAATTGAAATGATGAATTTTAATTTCTGTGACGGGTCTGGGTGTTTCTATGTATAATATGTATGTATTTACAAAAAAAAAAAGTATTTAAGTATGTTTATATCCGTTGTCTAGTACCCATAGTACAAGCTTTGCTTAGTTTGGGACTAGCGGCGCAGTGTAAAAATATCCAAGGATATAAAAAAAAAAAAGATAGATAGAAGTAAGATAGAAGAAAGTTTGTTACTACATTGTTTGTACTGTGGTGCTCCTAATTACGCAAACAGCAAGGTGTTCGCGGCGAGCTCATCTGCATGCTAACGAGTGCTTGTTTATTTAACTAACAGCCAGCGAGACACTGATATTCGCAAGGAAAACCTCAGAGTACACTAAACTATGTTTTGCTAGGTAGAACTAGCTTTAGTACCTATTAGTTTGGACTAAAGCTTTCGCGTTGGTCGCGAAAAGAGCCTGGATGTGGGCAGCGCAGGACCGTGCATTGTGGAAAACCTTGTGGGAGGCCTTTGTCCAGCAGTGGACGTCGTTTGGCTGAAACGATCGAACGAACGATCACAAAAGTGATAGCATAATATAGTTGTGGGCCGTTTCACATCACCTTGAAAGTAATATGTCTTGGGTTTAGGTTTGATTTCCATTCGGTTGATAAGAACCAAGTGAAAAGTGGAAATATGTATTATACATAGGTTCTGAAGGGTTCTGGAATGATGGCCACGTATATTATAGCTGAAATGACGATGAAGGGAAATATACTTAGACAAGTACCTCTTATTACCTACTTCATAAATTTCTTTAACGGAAAATTGGTTCTAAAAACTTGTGACTGAAAATTATATTACAAATTTTTGAAGAAGTGGATAACCTTCTGAGGATTTATCAGTACCTAGGATTTTACAAGAATTCAAATTAACATCTTCATTAATTACGTATTTAATATCATCTAAGGTATAACAATGTTGTTATTACCGTCTTATATGAGTAATAATATAATCACGAACCAGACTGAACAGTGAACATTATTGGATTTCCAATTAGACGACGTAGCATAATATGTGCTTAGGAAGGAACATCTGGAAGGGCACCTCATGATACGCGACGAAGGCGCGACAAGTAGGTACTGCATAAGCGACGAACGCGCGACGAGTACTGCTTTGTGATTGTCACTTGTCTCAAACTCAGAGGTCCTTGGTTTGGTACCCAGTGGGAACAAAAATTCTGCTCAGTTAGGTAGTAGGGTTTCTACGGAGTCCACCTGGCTAGCTACCATCTTCCCTAAGGCAGTCGCCATAACATTAATTGCAGCATTGTTGTACTGTCGGCAGTAGGAGGTAAGATAGAGTTCCCATATGATTGAAGATACCTGATGAAGCTTGCTTCTACCTTCTATCATCACACCAGCGAGAAGCAGGCCAAGCGCTTCTTCGTTGTGGATGAAAACCAACTGGGATGTGAAAGTTTGCGCTAGCCGAATTGAATGGAGACATTCACCTACACTGCACTGTAGCGGCCATTTGCAAGGCACGGCATTGAAATTCATGCAGGATGCAATTCCGAAGCTTTTCATATAAGGAAATACTAGTTTACGTGAAAAAGACTATCGTAGGAAGAATTTTCCTGTGCCAATTTGTACCATAAGGGCCAGTTTGGGTAGGTTGTTCCAATAGACGTCGGCATTGTTCAAATTACTCAAACTGAGATGAAAGAGTAAAAATCTGATTTAGTAAAGAGTACCCTAAGGTAAGAATGCCGTGTAAGGGAGTAGCGTAGGTTACAGAGTAGAGTTTTTGTTGATTAGTACGTAAAAATCAACAAAAACTCAACTTTGTGTTAGGTATGAATGGTCTGTCTGTACCATCACAGTGACTTACAATACCACTTCATTTTTACCTATTCGGGACTATTCCCACCTCTCGTTCCCACCGCTGCAACTCCTGTGTAGCCAGGATCTACAGCTTGACTGCCATAAAAACCCAACCAATTATGGATTTTTTACCTATTAAGAACTTGCGTAATTTTACTGAATACGAGTACCCTCATAATGATTTAAACTTGTCAGATGTTTCTTGTAAAGACGCAAATTAATCATGTTCATTAGTTGCAAGGTTTCTTGATGGTAAAAAGGAAAATTTTCTCATTTTCAACCGACTTAAAAAAAGGAGGAGGTTATCAATTCGACCCGTATGTTTTTTTTTTCTATGTTTGTTACGCGATAACTCCGCCAATTATGAACCGATTTAAACAAATCTTTTTTCGGCGTATAGGTAATACCTAAAGGGTGGTCCCATTTAAATTTAATAATAGAAAAAACAACCCCCAAGGGTGGAAAATTGGGGATGAACTTTTTTATACGCAATATCTCCGCCGATTATAAATCAATTTGAACGATTATTTTTTTGTTGAATAGGTATTATCAAAAGGGTGGTTTCATGCGAATTTGAAGAAAATATTTCACCCCCAAAGGTGGAAAATTGGGGTTGAACTTTTTTATACGCAATATTTTTAATTTTTAGTTTTTTTTTGTGTTCACGCATTTGAAGTCGGTTTTATTTTTTTTAAAAGTTAATTAGTCATAGAACACTTCCAATAAACTTAAGCACTTAAACGAAAAATAAGCAAGTCTCGGTAGGGTATTATTAATAAGTTAAACTCGATCACTTACCGGCGCTGAGGCTAGATTACCTGGAGCGGGAAACAAAACTACTTGAAAGTGGAAACATACGGTGTTGTATTTGGTACGTGAACGCCGAGTTGTAAGTCACTCACGCTGTAGTAGATTGGTATATCTTTTATTTTCCCTTTTTATGCAGAACAATAGTCAGGTATTTGACTGCAATCTACAGCACCTGATGTTAAGTGAGATGGAGTCTAGTATGGCACGTAATTGCCCTGTAAGTGCTTATTCACTCTCGCCTTGAAAAGGCTCGGATTATAGTGTTGTAAGTACTTGAGATATTTATTGTACCGCGAGTGATATAGGTAAGTAGCGTTGTTAGAGATTCAATCTATAAGAACAATATACTAGATAAATTAATGACGGTTTCGATTTTATAAAGTTCATGATAGCAAGATTGTTAATTACTTAAACCTACTCAAATATCAAAAACGTAACAGTTTACAACACAACCTGA